AACCTGAAATACTTTTCAAATCTATTTATAGAAGTAGAAAACGAAATAGTTAGTTGTTTTAACACATATTTTTGAACTCCTTTACTCACAAAGGTTGAGGCAACTCCAAGGGGTTCATCAAGTCGCGCAGTTTCCTCCTCGCCACTCGTTGCGCGTTTGTTTGTTGCCTTTCTTCCTCACTAATTTCTCTCACTAACATATTTAACGCTAAGCTATTCATTTTTAAGTTTCCGAATCAACCACAATTAATAAAGTTTCGCCAAAACATGCAAAAATCACATTGGCAAATTATCGAAAAATTGTCAACAATAAGCATAACAGCTGATTTCGAAAGATAGAAAGAGAAAAAATCCTACTCCTCAAAAATCCTTCTCCCCGACAATTTAGAATTGGAGGATTTTTTCTTAGAGGATTTTAAAATTCGCAAAGGAGAAATTCCGCGAGAATATTTAGGATTGGGCTGTATAATGTACTTAACATCAAGTTTCGTCAAACGTCATTTGCTTAAGGAAAGAGCGATACTGGTCGCACCTTCCGTACGGAATCAGCTGTTTGTACTCGTATGTATGTATGTACATATGTAAAATATGCAGTGTTGCCGCTTTGGCCATTTTTTACCGAAATTGGTAATTTTTTTCTTCGTTTATCAATGATATGATAAACTTTATCATATTTGGTAACTTATTTTTCAACTTGGTAACTTTTTCGATTCAGTCCTACATGTAGCATAGATCAAAACAAGTTCTGGTTCAACATTAGGAAATGGACCGTAAGCGTTTCCTTTTACAGAAATACCAGGTAATCCTGAAAGTTTCGTAAGGCGTACAGTTCTTCGGCGTTCCGAGGTTACTATAAAGCTCGGAACACTTTGACGACTGCAACTTCACGACGTAACGACAGCGACATCATTTTGTCGACAAATGTCGCCTTGAAGCCAGCTTCTTAAACATTTTGAAGGCCTCAGCGACATAGCAAAGAGCTGATTTTAAAGTTTGACATTTTGGTATATTTATTTCACAAATTGTGTATTTTTATTTAAGTAAATAAGAAAAACATGAACAATCAAGAATATGTGATTAATTTTGCGACAATTTAATTTTGCAGCACTACATCTACTCATTGTCGCCGGCAAAATTAGAAATAGATTTAATTTGGCGACGTCGACAATTGCAGTCCTGCAGCCAAGATGTCGTGCTGTCGTCAAAATAATTGTGTCCGTAAGAACGTGTGTATTTAAAATTTAACAGATGCTGCTTGTCGCTGCTGTCGTCAAAGTGTTCCGAGCTTAATTGTGTGATCTACAACAAACTGCTTGATAGTGGCTATGGTTATATCTACCGAGCCCTTTTGTAGAAGGTTGTGGATGGTCCTACCTTTCCTTGACAGTTAGTTAGCTTTGCAATTGCTATCAATATTCCGGCGTAACCCGACAACCAAATGAATAGAATTCTATGTAAATATGTATGTACGTTCAAAAGGCTACGGCGTTCAGTAGGGGACTTCCCTTTGTCTATATCTGAGTCGAAAGCTTTCAGGATTGCTTTCAAGCATTGAATTTTTGAGATGTTTTCGGTCACTTGTTGACATATGTATGTGTATATATTGGTCATAACTGGACAAATGTGGATTTTAAAGTGCTCCGAAATTTTAGTTTAGTTTAAATAAGTTTGGTAAATTTTTGTTGAATTTGGTAACTTTTTCTGGTGATTTTGGGTAAAAAATATTGTTTTATCTACCAAGTCCTTTTGTAGATGGTTGTGGTTGGTCTTACCTTTCCTTGACAGTTAGTTAGTTTTGAAATTGCTATCAATATTCCGACGTAACCCGGCAACCAAATGAGTAGAATTCTATGTAAATATCCTTACAAGAACAGTGATAGTCATTTAATTTTTAGTAAGATAAATGAGAATGTGTTAGTTTCGGCTACGGCATTCAGTAGGGGACTTCCCTTTGTCTATATCTGAGACGAAAGCTTTCGGGATTGCTTTCAAGCATTCCATTTTTAAGATATTTTCGGCCACTTGTTGACATATGTATGAGTATATATTGGTCATAACTGGATAAATGTGGATTTTAAAGTGCTCTGAAATTTTAGTTTAATTTAGTTTAAAATAATTTTGGTCGTTGTTTGTTGAATTCGGTAACTTTTTCTGGGGATTTTGGACAAAAAATCAAAAATTTGGCAACACTGAACACATGTAAGTAAAATATAGCCACCTAAAAGTCTACACCACGTTGCTTATGCATTTGACAGACTTTTCGTTCATTTTCTGACAGTCAGTTACGGCAGCTTATTCATATTAGGTTCTTTCCCTAACAATCCGAACCGGATTCGGTAATTTGAGAATAAGCGAAAAGTTGACTTCCAAAAATGGAACATAGTCCAAAAAACCACACTTCGTGCCCGGAATTTTAGAAACAGCCGATTCGCGTTGTTTTTGTTTTTGTCACTTAAATGCAAACTTATGGAAATTGAATTTTTATTTCACAAATTTGATTTTAAGAATATAAAGATTGAAAATACATTCACTATTCCTTAAAAGCACCAAGTAAATGCAGGCAACATGTAAACACAAAACAGCTGATATGCACTTTGACGCTTTATCCAATTTTACCCGGAGAAAAAGTCCGGGCTATTTCGGACAGGAAGAAGAAGACACTTACGATCCAATACGTTCCAATTTTCGCTCTCTATTACCCATTTTGTTGAGTACGGGAATAATTTCTGGGCTGTTTTGGGCACCCGCGGGATCCCACGTTGCGTACGGGAAAGAACCTATTATAGTCAGCCCTTAAGGGAGCGGTGCGAGAGAGATAACTGTCAGTTTATCGAGCCTTGTATTATTAGTAGCGTCCTTGTATGCGATAGTTGTACCAGTTTGTACTAACTATCACGTTTTGGTGTTCTTATAGCCAATAAACTTGTTAGAAAGGGGAAACTGAGAGCGCA